TAAAATAACTTTTAAAAAGGGTAGGGGAAATCCTGACCCATGCTACATTAATAAGCTGTGAAGACATTATGCTAAGTGAAACAAACCAGTCACAGATGAACAAAGACCCCCGGATCCCACTTTTATGAGGACCCTGGTCATCAAGCTCTTGAAAGATAGGAAACAACCATGGTTTTCAGGAGCTGGAAGCAAGTATGTAGAGAGACCAACTTCTCAGTTTAAGAGGAGGAAAAGACTTACAAATCAATGGTGGTAATAGTTTCATGACATTATTTATACCACTGAACTAAACACTTAAATATGGTTACCAGCTGGGTGCAGTGGCACACGCCTAGAACCCCAGCTACTGGGATGGCTCAGGACGGAGGAGCCTACGCTTGAGGCTGGCCTGTGTAATTTTATCAGAGGAGACCAAGCTACCAACTAATGATGTGAGCTGGTGACTTCTCCCTGAGATTAGTAAGGTTATAAGGAAAGAGAAAGAATAAGCATGAGGGTTCAGGCTTTGGCCTGGGAAGCACTCAGGAAGACAGCAGGCCTCTCTGGAACACTACGCCCCCTGCCCACTTACGATCTCAGAGCTGTCAGAAGGGGTCACAGCTGAATCAGGCCCTTCTGTGGTGGTCTGGGAGCTGTCACTGATGGGTGAGGAGGCCTGGGTCCCATCGTTCAGGTCCATAGCAGGGTCTGATGGGACGGCACTGATCTGGCTGGAACTGTGGCTCAAGATATCCTCTTCGTCCCCATCAGTGGCGGCACTGGTCAGGTCACAGCCAGACAGATCCACAGAGTCTGCCTGCAGCGTGTGCTGTGACCGGGGCTGCTCAGTGATGATGTCATGACTCATGGACCCAGGAGTAGAAACCCCTGAGGAGGCTGCCAACTCTCCACTGATCTCCCCCTTCACAGAGGCTATAGACAAAAAAAGGCCCAGCGGTCAGATGGACAAGCCAACATCCATGAAAGTATGCAGTGTAACAGAAAGTCAGTGTCAACAAAAGTTCTAAATTCACAGGCAGCATCCTTCAAATCTGACAACAGTATCTACAACAGTAAAGTAAGGGTAACCTACAGACAGTTTTTAAATGCTATGAATAACTGGGGAGATAGCTCAGTGGCATAAGTGCCTGCCTGAGGTGCCCAGTGTCCTGAGTTCAATTTATGGTACTAAAAATGCATACATACTATGAATATTCTCAAATGCGGTTTCACTGCCAAAACCAAAGTTCAAGTTCGTAAGCAACTACTCAAGTCATGGCTAACGCAACACCCAGCAGAGGCAGCCTGGCAACAGGTAGGCACAAATGGCAAACACAACACCCAGCAGCTCTACAAAGCAGTGCCAGAAATGGGCAAATTCATGTTTTCTTTGGGGTATACTTGCCTTCTTCCACTCCCTGTTTAAGATCTCTAATCTAGCCCTATTCTTCTGCAGGACAAATATACCTCATACCTTCCTAGTTTCATTTTGAATTTCCTATAACAAAATAAAAGCACTGTATAAAAATCACTTCATAACAACTGCCATTGGAAGCTATGGCCAGCGATCACAACTGAGTCCAAGCTCTAGATCTCCACACTGTCCAAGAAAGCAAAATTTCCTGCTGGTATTTTAGCTTTTCAATTAAGAAAAAATAATCTATTTGTATTTTGTAAGATAAAAGGATAAATTATTATCACTGGTGTTATTCCCATAATCCTCACCGGATACCACTGCCTTACTTTCATTTACCTAAAAATGTTCTTCTGGATAGGCTCATGCAACCCACCCTACCCTAAGTCAACCCAGACACTGGCATCTGAGGCTACTGTTCATCTTTTATAAAGTGCACAGATAACTTAATCGGATAACGCTATACTAAAGAGCGAGAGTGTCCCAGGCAATGCTCTGTGCCACTCACCATCCCACGCGGGAGGCTGCTCCAGCCACCGCCTGACCCAGAGGACGCAAACAGCCCACGTTAAAGGGAGCACACAGACACATCCCCCAAAGTCATGGAACAACAGGGCTGAAGTATCAGCGCTGGCGCAGGCCGACTCCATTGCCACCCCCGTGCCTGCCGAGTGCCGGCTAAGGCGCGGGGCAGAGGTAGGGAACAGGATGTAAGCAAGAGTGACAGCAGCCACTCACTACCTGCAAAGGCCGAGCTGCTGGTGTCTGACCTCGATTCGGAGTCATCCTCCAAGGCTTCCTCCTCTCCTAAAAGCACTTTCCCTAGAGAATAATGCAGCAACAGTCCTCTTAAGTTGGCTAAAGATAAGAACTGCAAAATTAAATAAGTGTACATTCTAAATTGAAACTCATGAACATATTTAACTTCATGGTTTATTATTATATGTTTTTATATCTTTAGGGTTAAACACAAGAACACAGATATATTATGTTCAGAACACTTCAAATCAATTAACTTGTATGAAAGTTATAGCCAATGATTCTCTAACAGTACTGCAAAATACAATAATGAAAATTTACTGATTTAGATGATCATTACTGCTAAATAACTTACACCAGTATTCAACTTAAAGATGTTACATTAAGACAGAAAAGATCCTATTCTATTAACCTTGGGGTATTCATGAAGTCTCCAATAAGAATTCGCACAAAACTCTCAAAGAAAAATCACTTTCATTTTCTTTTCTTTTACTTTCTGTTGTTAACAATCAGAACTCTAGTACTATGGTCTGAGAGGATAAAATAGTATTTTGTTTGCACAGTTTTAAAAATATTAGAAAGGCCAGCCAGATAGCTCAGCGGATTAAAGTGCCTGCTTAGGCTGAGACAGCAATTGAAACTGGGTGTGGTGGCACATCTGTAATCCCAGGATATGGGAGGCTGAAAACAGGAGGATCACTACAGTCCAATCTGTGCAGTGAGACCCTGTACTAAATACATTAAAAATATAAATATATTTAAAAGTTTTAGTGTGACTTAACGGGCCTCATTAAGTCACTATACACTGTCTAAATCGTTAACTGGCAATTTCCAACTTGTAAGTCAGAGTTGTAATAACTTCCATAAACTTAAACAATGAGACATTAAAGGCACTAAAACTTATTTATTTATTTGGTATTTGATAAAGGGTCTCACTACACAGCTCGGACTCATAGTGATCCTCCAGTTTTCAGCCTCCCCAGCGCTGGGATTACAGGTGTGCTCCACCACACCCAGACTGGGTGGCTGGCTCAGCGCACTGGGGGTGGGGCCCGCACAGCATGCGGGGCCAGGGTTGTCTAAGCAGGTGCTTAGTCTGCTGAGCTATTTCACCGGCCCTAAAAAATTAAGAGAAGAAAAAATTCACCAACTCAAAACCCCAAATATAAGTGAAATTACATAGTGACTAAACATCAAACAACAGGACTTCTTGTTAAAGCTGGAAGCAGTGACGCACACCTGTTAGCCCAAGTGTTCTGCAGGCTAAAGGGAGGACCTCGAGTCTGAGGCTATATTCTATATCAGAGCAAACCCCTAGTGGTTTGAGAAATCATACCAAACTCCACAACAGTGAATTTGGACCTTTTTTTCCCTCCATCAGATACTAAGGCTTGAGTCGAGGGAGCTGAGCCAGATCACCAGCCTTGCTTTAATTTGTGATGGCTGACCTCAAACCTGGGGGCCTCCTGCATCTGCCTCCTAAGCAGCTGAGATAATAGGCCTGCACACCACCTCTGAATCAGTGTTTTTCAAGTATGTTCCACACCCCGAAGCAGCGGATGACTCACTTAGGAACAGGTGCAGGTCTACCACTACATAACAGACTCCAAGCCACCCCACGCCTTTACCCAACACAACTCTACTTTCATCTCTTCTATACTGGCAGATTGGGGGGAAGTGTGTGGACTTTGCAGCTACAATAAAGTTTGAAAACCACAGCTTTAAATGGAATAAGGATTTTTTTGTTGTTGTTGTTCCTCGAATGGCTTCAGGGCACTTTTGGCCAGCGGGAGAGTTGTGAGGTTCGAACTCCAGCAACCTGAGGCTGAGAGCTTTGTGGAAGCAGCCACTTAAAGGCCTGAGCTAGGGCCAGGCCCCCAACAGCTTTAAATGGAAAAAAAAAAAAAAAAAAAAAAAAAAAAAAAAAAAAAAAAAAAAAAAAAAAAAAAAAAAAAAAAAACCTGAAAAAAATTAAAGACTGAGGAAATACGCTATGGACTGAACAGAAGACAGAATAACTCATCTAACAATGTCAATCACTATCTTTCTCATTGTCTCAAGAAAAGTGACTAAGAAACAAATGATATACCAAAGTAACTTCACTGTGTCCAAAATGTCCCCTAACTTAAGAACACAGAGATTAATTTTCTAGGAATCTCAACTTTTTTTTAATTTTCAAAAAAATTTTACAATGTTTCTCTAAAACTTCAAACTCAATTAACTATCCCACACTATGAAGACGCATACTATGTTTTTTGAGACTGGTCTCAGCATGTTGCCCAGGCTGATCTCAAATCCCTGGGTGCTAACGATTCTCCTGCCTCAATCAGGACTACAGGTGTGTCTTATCAGTATACCCAGCTTACAAATGTTACTGTTTCTAAGTACTGGGAAACGCTTACCTCCTTCTCAAAGACAAGAATGCTATTTTTCTTAAAATCCCATTCAATACTTTAAACACTCAAGTTATGGTACAAAAAAGGACAAGTCTTTAAGATTTCAAAACAAAAAATACTAGTAATTCTTTCCTAAGGACATTCCCAATGAAAAAGAAGATAAGTGGTAATACAAAGTGATAATATGAAGGAAAAGTATTAGGTCACAGACATTCCTTGTTTAACAACTGCATTCTGTTCCTGTCCCTAAGTCATTAGATGAACTGGCTGTTAAATGAGGAGTGTATAATATGTACCTTACAATGTTCAGAACAAAGAAATGGTCCAAGGAAACTCTACTTGAACACTGCTTTGATTTGCATAACTCTTATATGCAGCATGTAATATTATATGCAGTATATAATAATGTAAAACTATAGTATTGTACTGTATAGGACCATCAGCAACAATCACAGTACTGTAGAAAGGTGTTCTGTACCCAAAAAAAGACACTGAGACTCAATAAAGAAGAGGTACAGAACTATACCCAAAAAAAGAAAACAAAACAAAAAAAATAAGCTTGTAAGTCCAAGCAGCAGACCTCAGTTGAAACTAAGCCCAAATAGTTGTTAAATAGGTAGGCTGTTAAATGAAGAACATCTCTATCAGAAACACTTTAATATGTATAAATTAACTGTATCCTTTTATATGAACAGTCAAACACTGTTGAAAATGATAACCAGGGCTGAAGTAAATTCATAAAAGCTACTTAATAATAATCATCATCATCCTACCTTAACACAATCCTTTAGGAAAGTAAGCTCCCCTCTGCAGAAGCAGGCCTGCTTGTGTCTAAGTGAAGTTCTGCTGGACCCAGACATGCCTAGCTCTCACAGACGCCCACAGCTGCTTTCTGACCACAGGGCTGAGTGTAACAGTTGTAAAAAAAAAAAAAGACCATGTGGCCCATGTGCTAAAATATTTGCCCTGTGGCCCTTCATGGAAAGTCTGCTGACCAATGATGGAAAGAAAGCGTTAGAAATCTGTCGCAAAGCAAATCTGATACAGAAGCAACTTTTTAAAGTCACCCTACATAACTTTAGGCCTATTTACCAGTTTCCAGCAACATTCACCCATAGATTCACCCTATGGGAAGAGAAACAGTCTAAAGCACAAACAAAAAAAGCAGTTTGATTCAACACAAGATGCAGATTTCAAAAATAATCACCTTTTTGTTTTCTTGAAAGGACAGGACTGCAAGAACCTCCTCCAGCTGTAAACCATAAAAAGTGACAGATCAAAGGAAGGTAAAGCTGTTAAAAATCAGAAGAAATCTGAATACTTTCAAAAAGCTTAATCTAATTTTAAAAGTAGGGAAAATGTCAACACGTTCCCACTTAAATGGCACAGTGCAACATCTTCTAATTTTAATGCGAAAATTACATTAACATTCAAATATGTAGGGTTTTTTTTTTTGTTTTGTTTTGTTTTTTTGGTGGAACTGGGGATTGAACTCAGGCCCTTGCACTTGCCAGGGAAATGCTTATTCTACTGAGCCATCTCCCCGGCCCCAAATATGTAGTTTTGAAGACGTAACTAAAATGCCAAAAGAACTATAATAAACTGCTTTTTAACAGCCAAATTAAAAATAGTAGAGGTCTCAGATTATTTGATCAACTAATAATCAAGTAGACATATTAGAGATGAACACTTGTAACACATGCAGACCACAAACAAGGATTCTGCAGGGCAAAGGAGGGCAGCCAGGGCACACTAACACCTCTGCCTACAGATCAAACACATGTCCATGAGGCAGCAATCAGATATCCAGGAAATTCTCTCTAGTTTTTCAACACAGTGAGCAGAGGCCTCATTCCCATCACCCTAGGCCCCTGCAGCAGCCACGGAGAGATCCAGGCCAGCAGAATTTCCTCAAGCCTGCTATGGAGGCTATGATCCACAGGTTCTCATCTGTCCCTGTTCCCAAGGATGCCCCATGTCAACACACTGAGCCATCTGAGCAGAGCCTTGTGGAATCAGAGCCCAATTCCTTTGAATATGAAGCACAAAGAGTAGGCTAGGTGTCATGGGGTAGGGACTGGGGGCTGAGAATGCAAAGAGTTTTAAAGTCAGGACCCAGAGAGCACAAAAACTCTGAAACCCAGGCGAAGGCTTCAAGATCCTATCTCAGGCAAATTAAAAGTAAAGTCCTAGAAAAACCCTCCTGTTCTCATTTTATAACATTCAAATGGCAGGTGGGGAACAGTGTAGTCAGAGGAGGCAAACCAAGCAGCATCTGGCCTCACTCTGCCAGCTGACATCCTGAGATCTGTGCTGTATGTCTAGTCAAGAAGCTTGGAGTGGCAGCTCAGCACAGCACAGCCCCACAGAACACAAGAGTCCTGAGTGACGGCACAGGTGGTTACAAGCAGAGACCAGTAAGAGAGAACACACCTAGAAGCTCCACAATGCTCCCGCTGCGGCTCCGGCCCCGGGCCTCCTCCTGAGCAGTGGAGAGCTGAGCCAGGCCTCCTGGAGTGGTCAGCGCTTGCAAGAGCTCAGGCGGGGGCGTGCGGAAGAGCTGCTGCAAGAGTTCCAGCGCACCCGTCACCACATTGTGGTCTTGGTGCTGTGTGTGATACAAGGTCAGTTCATAAACCTAGAAAGAGACAGAAAAACAGGCAAGTGTTCAGTTTTGGTTTTAGAAATGTCTCCTGCCTTTCACTTTTTTACAAGTCCTTGTGGCAAAGCCTGCGTTCTAATTCTCCCTCTAAACATGATCCTTTCTGCCAGTGTGGTCAAAGTGTCCATGGGTTCTAGACAGTCATGATGCTTCCCTGGTATACTGAGCCACAGACATAAACAGAGCCCTTCATCTTGAGCAGCAGCATGCTGCTTCAGATCGCCACGCCTCAAAACCAGTCCCTAGGGAATCCCAGCAGACACCACGGTAAAATTGCATGGGCGCTCCCAGCAGCCCACAACAGCTTCCAAGAATCCACAACAAAGAGCTGCCAGGAACGTTACAAGCATCTGGAGTCAAACCTTACAGGTGCTCCTAATACTTATCGCATTATATGCACAAGATGAATTTATTCTTTTTCACATTCGAGCTGCCAGAAATATAACACAGGGTGCTCAGTTAAATTTCATTTTCAGACAAACAACAAATAATTTTGTAGTGTTTCCTTTGCAATTTGGAAAAAAATTACCAAATTATCACTGATCTAAAAGTCAAATTTCACAAGTATTTTTGTTGAGTTTGCCTCTCCTACCTTTACTATCATAAAATATACAGATTTCTTTTTTGAAAGTCAACACAGAAACACAGAAGAGTATGGATTAAATGTCATGGTATCCCAGGAAGAGCTACCTTTAATCCGTGTTTCTTTAAGCAATTCTGATTGCAAGCTCCATAACGCCTAAGCCAGAGCTTATTTTTATGAGTAGCTTTCCTAGAATCCAACCACATCTATGGGCTGTCTATGGCTGCTTCTGTGACACAGGCCATAGTTAAATAAATGTGACCACAGTGGTACGGCCTGCAAAAGCCTAAAACAGTTACTCTGTCCACTGATGGAAAACCTGGTTTAGGTGACCAGCTGTCAGTTCTGACTGAAGCCATCCATCTGTTTCAAGCAGCCTCTCCTAACTCCTCTCTGAGTAAAGAGGAACTCAGAGCCCATGTCCCCTTTCCCCTCCTCTGCTTCCTATAACCTATTGTCCAGATTCACCTCATTTACATACTACGTGGTAACATTATTTAAATCTGATCTGCCTAGAAGTCAAGCCTAAAACTGAATCTTAATAGTATGGTCATGCTTGGTGGCTCACACTTATAATCCCAACACTCCGGAAGGTCGAAGTAGGAGGATCACAAGTTTGAGTCCAGCCTTGGCAACTAGCAATTTAGCCAGACCCTGTCTAAACATAAAAAATTAAAAAAAGGGTTGGGGATGCAACTCAGTGTAAAGACCGTAGGTTCAAGCTCCAGTGCTGTAAAGAGATAAATTGGATATATCTTGTCTCATGTAAATAAGTGTTATTTATTTACATAAGGCTGTAAAGCCTAATGTGGTAGCTCAGAACAAAATACTTCATTATTACTGTGTGTTGCTCAAACAGAATATTCCCAGGTTACCAGTCAAATAGATTTTCTTTTTATAATTTATTACTTTCTGTCTGTCTTCTCTGGCTTCATCATTGGATGGTAAAATTCTCTTACACATTTGCTGGTTTTCCTACAGCCTGCTCACTCCTTTCCAGCACTACCACACATCCCTTGGCTTCTCTCAGCCTCATGTGGCCACACTGCTGCAGGATACTGCCTGTAGCTCCTCATCTGAACTACAAGCTGGACAACAACCATGAGGAATTGCTCTGAGCTCAATGCTAGGTGAGATACTTTGTTTGCTGGATTTTTAGGACTTCTTTTATTGAATTTATATCTCATTTTGCTAGAATATGTCTTCAAACAATTGTTTTCAAAAAGCACAGGTGCAAAACACACACACACTTGCCAGGCTGCCAGCATCCCATTCCATGCACACCCTGCCCAGACCGATATGCAAGGGTGGGCCAGGCCCATGGCTGTCCCCTCAGCACCCATCCCTGTGCCTGACAGGGCGGTGCTCAATCAGTATGTCCTGAGTATGGGAGCACCTTTCACAAGCCCTATCCCAAGTGAGTCTGAGGGGTACAAGCAAATCCCTCAGCACCTTCAGTACTCACCCAGTGAAGCAGACAGGCAGAGCTCACGAGCCAAGGAGTCAGGCTCCAGAGCCCACGCTGCTCACGCTCAGCTCTGCCTCTTCTCACACAGGTTATTTTAGCTTCCGCAGTTTAAAGACACAGGCAAGCGTTACCCTGTACTCCTACCTGGACCAGCTGTTCTGCAGACGGAGAGACTTCCATCTCTTTCCGTGTCACCCCAAAGCTGCCTTTCAGGCTTGTGTCCTTGACCTGCTGCTGTAGCAAGGGCACCAGATACCTCAGTGTGAGCAGCACCCCAAGGATCAGGAGCGTGGGGTGTTCTTCCTCCACCGGAACCAGCAGACCTACAAAGGCAGCCATATGATTTTTCAATGGCTAATCTGCTGCTCAGAGACTCACAGTGCACTTTAAAAAACAAAACAGCTATAGAACCACCTTTCACTAAGGCTGGTGTGACTAGAAGAACAGGCTGGGTGGCCAGATACAGTAATGGCTCGGAGCAGCAGGCCCCCAAAGAGAATAACCACACTTAGGCAGTTATTTTATACCGAAGACCACCTGTCGAGTCCAGCACTACTAGCCATGGTTTCCAAGCACTGGAACCGTAGGAGAAACTGCCAGCAGAAGCCTTACAGGGACAGAGGGTCAGGCTGTGCACTACCTTCCACCTGCTGCCCAGTGAGATGCTCTTGGGCACTGCAGCATCACAAAGCCTACAGAAGCGCACAGCAGCTGCAGTGCAACTCACATTGAGCAGCAGTCTGGAGCAGAGGCCAGGCCTAAAGACTGAGGGATCAGCAGGCACATACGACTTTCCAAAGGTATACACCTGGAAGTGCTGGAGAGGCGCCCGCACGGCTCCCACCTTACCTAGCAGCACACTGAGCAGCCAGCTGTAAAAGTACTGCGTCCTCCTGGAGTGCTGGCAGACGCTCACCGCTGAGCCAGCTGCCGTCCGCCGGACCGTAGGAGAGCTCGACTTCAGATTCGCTATGAATGCCTTCAACAGAACCTGGAAAAACCCAAAATTCAAGCAGGCAGAAGATGAGGCTGCTATGAGGGTTATCACACGTTTAGAAACTCTGGAGCTGAGGATGTAGCTCCAGAGAGCACTTGCCTAGCTTTACCACGGACTTAAGCCACAGCACACACATAAAAAGGCAGGTATGGTGATGCCTGTTTATAATGCCAATACTCAGGAGGCTGGGGCAGGAAGACTGCTAGTTCAAAGTTAGAATGGAACTACATAGGGTGAACTTGTCTCAAAAATAAAACAAGAAAAAAAAATAACCCCACAAGGATTAGGAGCTTTAAATTTTTGTGGAGCATAAATTAGAAGTGATGAAACTTTCCTATAAATGAATGGAAGAATCCCAAACTTGGGCTAGTCAGGAATGTTTATAAGCATGTGGCATGGTTCCTCATTTATCAGCCACACTAAGCACGCTGCCAGCCTCCTTGTGAGGGGGAGACGGCAGCTGACAGAGAAGTTCCCTCCACCTACGCTGGCGGCTCTGGGCCAGGTCAATAAGGACGCTGAGCAAAATGGAGACGTCCCAAAGACTCTATCAACAAATATTAACAAAAAGACCAGCCAGACAACTCAGCGGATTAAAGTGCCTGCTTAGGCAGACGCAGGGACTGGGGTTCCATCCCCTGCGTGCCCTGCTGGCGCCGCCCCCAGGGCACACTGAGATGGCAACTGAGACTGGGCATGGCGATGCACATCTGTAATGCCAGCAATCCCAGCACTTGGGAGACTGAAAACAGGAGGATCACTATGAGTCTGATCTCCGTAGTGAGACCCTGTACTAAATTTTTAAAAATAATTTTTTTTAAAGGGTCTGGGGAGATAGCTCAGTGGAATAAGTGCCTGCCTAGCAAACGCAAGGTCCTGAGTTCGATCCCTGGTACCAAAAAAAAAAAAGCAAATGTTGTAACCATTTCCATTTTTGTAACTAGAACAGCTATTTTGTTATACAATTCTGTATGTTTCTGTTATAACTGTTATAATGTTATAACCTGACCAAAACGCCACCATCCTGTTCTGTATGCTGTGTGGTCTTAGTAAACCATGTCAGCTACTATAAAATGTGATTTTTAGTTTCTTAAGCCCACTCCCTTCAGGGCGTGTTATACCCTGACATTAGTAACTCCATCTTGGCTCTCTGATTCAACTTTGCCCTAGTTGATTACAATGACTCCATCTTGGTCCTCTGAGTCACCCCTGCCCTGGTTCCAAGAATGTCTTAAGGCGAAGAAAAACAGGTGTTCCTAGCAACCCATGGCCACATTGTCCTTAGAAGGTCAGCATGACCGCATACCTAGATTACACACCCTGTACTGTACTCCACCTAGACCAAAGGGGTAACTCTTCTGTGTCCAGCTTCCTCCAGGTGGGCTACAACCAATCCTGTAAAAGGTCATGTGCCCCCTTAGCCACATTAACATCTGCTATTGGCTTCTGTGATCGGCTTGCTTGGATGGGTGGTCTTGCGGTTTTTGGGTTTAAATTACTGTGCCTCCCCTTATTCGGGGCTCCTCTTTGTCTCTCGGACTCTGAGGGTGCCGCTGGGTACCAGCTAAAATAAAGCGCTACCATCTTTTTGGACGTTTTGCCTCGTTGTCTCCTTCTTGGGTTACAACAATAACCTATGTGATTGACTCCATTTTGTAACCAGAATAGCCACTGTATTATACACCTCTGTACATTTCCACTGTAACTTTATTAATGAGGATTGTTTGGTATAAGCTGACAACTTAAACTCCATCTTGGTGGCTCAAGCCATCCGTCGGACCTCTGAACACAGTCTGTTAATGTTCAAACTATTCCTTTGTTCTAAACCACAATGTGTTAAAGGTTAAGATCTGAACTATTTCTTACCCCAGAGCACTCCACACAGTATGTCCCGTGATCAACACTGAACCATAAATTGTAATTATTTGTTCCTGAAAATTGTAACCGCATGTTAAAAAAATGTAACCTGCTTTCCCAGAAGTGGACGCTAACCCCTATGCTGCATTCCCGTGCGCTCAAGTCACGAGACCTCCCCTTTGCGGTTTTCAGCCTTAAAAACCGTTATCTCTCCCCTCCTGGATGCACACTTACGCACTTTGCCGGGTGTTGCCACTGGGTACCAGCTAAAATAAAGCACTCTTTTCTTTTTGGACTTGTCTCCCAGTTGTCTCATTTTTGGGTTACAACAGCAAATACTAACATAAAGGAAAGAGCTCCTGGCAACTCCAATAACTTCCCAGCCCAAGAGATGCATGGACAAGTGCTGCTGGAGTCAATGACGTGCCCTCAGGACTGTCTACTGGGGATGGGATGACACACCTCCCATCATCAGAGCAGAAAGGTGCTCAATGGACCCCAGAATGAGCTCAAGAAGAACACACTGTAATTCCATTTAAGTCTTAACTACCCAAAGAATGAGATGGAGAGGCTGGCTAGCCACATTCTGATGGTGACTGTCATTGACATCTATTCCCAGGGCTGGGGGTGTGGCTCAGTGGCAGCATATCCAGCATGTGCACGGCACTGGATGCAACCCCCAAGCACTGTGATCAATAAATACCCACTCCCGTCATACTAACCCATGCAGGTAGGCATCGATGAAGCACTACTCAATGTGAGGCCAGTACATGCTCATCAACTAGCTACTGAGTGCCAGGTCTCTCTCCTCCAAAGTGGGGCTTCCTAAACTGTTGAGATTTAATGGGGTTCAGTGATTCTGCAGACTAGACTGGAACTAGCAGCATGGAAGACGTCTAAGCCAGGGACCTGCCATTTCAGGATACCTCCCAGGGAATCCAGACAACTTATCTCACAAACATTTTAGCTATGAGAAAAGATAACAGAATCTTAAACCCTAAAAACACATAGGCATAACTGAAACACTAGGTATGGTGGTCCACTCCTGTAATCCCAGCAACTCAGAAGGCTGAGGTAGATTTGCAAATTCCAGGCAAGTCCCAGCAATTTATTGGGATTGTCTCAGGATGAATTTTTTTTTCAAAATTATTGTTACATTTATTATTTACAATATAAAGCACTTTGAGAACTTTTTTTAAAAAAATTTTTGGCAGTGTTAGTCAGCAGCAAAGCACTTGCCTAGCATAGCTGAAGCCCTGGGCTCAAAATCCTGCACCAAAAGAAAGAGAGGGAGAAAGGGAGGGAGATATGCATCATTCTCTATTGGTCCAAACTTACAAGCATAATGAGATAAGCAATGTTACAGAGAGTCAGCCCAGAGTAAAACTAAATAGTTTGGAATAATAATATCTAACCTGAAAGCTCCAAGGGGGGCCTCCTAAGATCTAAATCTCATCCAAAAAACATGACAGCATGTCAAAGGACTCACCTAGACCAGGTTTAAGGCACTTTTAAAAATAAGGGTCATGAGTTGCACTACATAGCTGGTTCTGATATAGGGAACAAACAATCTTGGGCAGATAACCTCCAAATGATACAGGGGAAAAATGAAACTCCCAACCTGAAAAGTACCTGGGGTGAGTTCATGCTCTCTAAGAACCGAAGAATGAATTTTAGGAACAAACAAAGGTTATGAGCAGAATATATTTACTGGGGGAAAGAAAGCTCCTGTCCAAGACAGGGACAGGAGGGGGCCCCCAAGTGGGTTGTCACCAAGAATTTGTTTTATCCAGGGACTTTTATAGAGTAAAAGCATGTGGTGAGGCGGGTCTGAGGTGGTGGAGAACAGGGGAACTCACTTAGGTGGGCATGAAGTGAGACAAAACTATGGTCAACCAATGAGATCACAAGCACCATTGCTCATTCAGGACCAAATTGGGAAGCGAGTAGCAAGCAGGCATGAATACTGGACAGGGTCTCTTCCTGGTGGGGGCTGAGCTAGTGACTCACTTGGGCTCTTTCAAGGTGGTTGGTGCCTATTTAGAATATCAATGCCTGATGCCCATCCCCAGGGAAGCATGTAGCTGTATTTGTTTCCTCTTTTGTCTTGAGGTCTGGCCCATAGGGAGTGTCTGTCTCTTCCAAGTTGCAAAGTCACCTTGTCTTCTATATTTTCTCCTTGAGGGCCTGACCCTGTCTGCCTATAATATTTCTATCTAATTCAGCTGCCTGCGACAGTTCTAAGCTGAGGTGGCCACTGAGTCATGGATGTGGTGGTGCAGGCCTGTAATCCCAAGCACTGGGGAGGATGAAAAACAGGAGGCTCTCTACAAGTCTGAGCTGCACAGTGAGACCCTGTACCAAATACATTTTTTAAAAAAAAAAAAAAAAAAAAGAAAAGAAAAGAAACAAATACACATATGACCTATTTTCCAGAGTACTTTAGGAGCAGTTGGGTATGGTGGTGTATGCCTGTGATTACACCATTTGGGAGGCTGAGGCAGAAGGAGGGTTGCTTATACTACATAATTTAAGGACAACACGAACTACATAGTGAGACCCTGTCTAAAAATAAAATAAAATAAATAAGTCTTTCAGAAGGGAAAAGATACATAAATCATTAAACTTTACAGTCAAGAATAACAGGCTCTGGCCCTACTATGAATTGCTGAATTATTATGGTGGTCAGCTAACATGGCTGAAACCCTTAAAACAACAGCTTAGTTTCCCAATGACTACTTCCTTCTTCTTCCCCAACTCAGTCCTGGATACAATTTCCTCTCACCTTTCCTGAGCACACAGGGAGACCGTAATCAGCTCCTTAGGTGACACTAAACCTGCCCCTCAAACTCCACCCTTAACAAAAGTCCACAGAAATCTAAGCTTTCTTTGTCTCAGGCCAGAAGATCTACCTGACCAATCTGCTCTTGATCCTCTCCATGTCTTTAGAGTAAATAAAAGCTTCTTTTATCTTTGCTATCACTTCACTGAACACTGAAAAACCTAACAAAGAATACTTCAGGGATTGAAAATGGAAACTAAAACCATAATGTGACATAAGGACCCACTTCAGAATGGCTAGAGCTCAAAAGAATGACGATTCCAAATATTGGTGAGGGTGGAGAGGCTTGGAATTCACCACCCACCAACAGAGGGTCGTCTGGTGTGACCTCATAGGAGGCAAACAGGCACCTGTGCTGAAGCTGAGACCTATGACTCTGCCACGCCTGTACTCTATCTCTAGGAGCCCACAACAGGCGGCCTACTGCGCCCCAGTGGCCACTGGTCACAAAAGGTAGAAACTAGAAATTACCCTACTGTCCATCCACAATAAAATAAACTAAGACATATCACCCAACAGAACGCCCCAGAGCTACGAAAACTGGACCGCTAAGGCACCATAAGGTGGAAGACTAACAAACGTGGTGTAAAAGAAACCACACCAAAAATAATACCTACTGGGGCTGGTGAGATGGCTCAGTGGTCTAAAGCACCTACTTGGAACAAGCTTGCACAGGGACCGCGGTTCAATCCCCCAGCACCACATGCCAGCCAGCCGCGCCCCCTGGTGGGCTGAGCTGGCCACACACACACACACAATAAATAAATAAACTTTAAAAAAAAAAAACAAATATATTGGCTTCCTTTAATTAGCCTGGTCACTGTTTCTTAGTACAACTTTACTGTAGAGATTGGATTTGTTTTGTTCTTTTTAGTTTATTTTATGTCTGTAAC